CGCCCTTCCACTTCGCCAAACGAAGTCTGAGGACGCTTTTGTTGCCAGTGGCATCGCTCGCCACTTCGATCTGGTGCTTAACATTTTCCCCCGTCTCAAGTCATTCCTTGCCTTTGAAGTGAGTTGTTGTTAAATGACATGTTGACTTTGAGGCTTTCCAGTTTTGGGTTAAATTTTTTCTTTTGAAATAGGTTTAGAGTTCGGTTAGACCTAATATCTTTCTGTTATATAGCCTACCTTTTCCGTAGAACCTCATACATCGGCATTCACAGCAGTATCCGAATGAAGTAAAGTCTAATGCAGGACAGAAATTGATGCTCCGCAACTTTTCTACCATGGTGAGGAAGCCTTAGAAGTTGGGGAGTGTAGTGGTTGGTTACACGGTAAAAATTAATTACCGACGTATTGCTTATGATTGGGCGATATTTTGCTGTTGGCTCTCTGCAAACTCCGTCATCTGCAGTCGATGGCTTCCTCTAAATTCGTGCGCATCATCCGCTCGGCAAAATTAGAGCTGGTCCTTGTTTTAGTGTGAGGCTGGGGTTGGAGTTACCTCCGAAGAAGTTGTAGCTTGTGTGAATCTAGAAGTGTGCAGAACGATTGGAAGATCGCTAGCACAGTTATATGCTGTCAACAGAGGAGTCGAACCGCCCTGGATTGGAGGGACTCATTTCTCATTTTTTCGCCAAGGGTGCTGTCTACGACGCAGAGGACAATGCTTCCACGTCGCGAACATGTCTTCCTCTTCAACCACTGGGTATTGGTCGAATTAACGCAATGCGCTTCCTGTGCCACCTCATCTTCAACTGTCACGGTGTGGAAGGTGCTGAGGTCGTTGAACAGTTCGCTCAATTGGATTTCATTGGCAACATGGTGGTGAGTTACCTGTATTTTCTATCACGTAAACCGCATTTGGCAAGTGGTACTTAAGAATAAACGATGCTGCCCAGTGAGTAAACTCCATGTGTTAACGGCTTTTTGCGAGATCGCTTGCATTCCAGACAGGTGGACCTAATAAGTGACCAAAAAGTGAAGTCGGGTGAATAAACTTAATGAATATGATTCGATGGGAGAAAGGCGAGACGCCGCCACATTCTTGTCCTTCGTATTCCCCTATCACTCTTCTCAATGACACGAATCTAGACAACGCCATGGTCACATATGGAGTTGACTGGAGAAGTGAAATAAAAGCGGAAAAGTGACAAACGGATAAGGCTGGAACCAAGGCAGGGTACAGTTTGTTTGATTCTAGAGGTAGTGTTTTATAGAAGTGGGACTCGTGATAAATTGATGAGTGATAAGATAGTTCACTTAACTTGTTCATCGGTGCAAAAAAATGCACCAGCTAACTTGGTTCCCGCTTTGAAGAACGGTTTCTGTTCTATTGATGCTGGACTCGGGAGTGGGGCAGTTGTTAAAACCCGACGAGATTACGATAGCACTTAATAAAAAGGTTCGCGGAATCGTGCGAAGTTTTAAAAAGATGTCATTCTGTTAGGCAACCCTCTTTTTCTTTCGATCATTGACCTAGGCGCTCTTCGTGATTACGCTTCCACACAATGGTACCATGTAAAACTGCATTGATTGCCAAACATCAGGGAAGGCTCCGTAGAGCGGTTTCTTTCTTTGACAGCATCTGTTTTAGCTCACATCGCTTAGTTTAATGGGTTCACCTGACATTGCTCCTTCTATTTCGCGTACTGCATTACAGGACTCTAGAGCAAGTAATTTTTCCCTTGAAGGCGTCTCTGAGCTAAACCACTTTTTCATCTTTCTCCCTACATTGTCGCTTGATTGTTGCGCCGTCATCCATCTTGATCACTTTTAGACCTGTGCAATGCGCAGGAATGTCATTTCTTCCAATCTTATTGACCGCTCTTCTGCATCCATTACCACAATTTGTGGTTTTTTCGTGGACGGTTCACCTTGTATACGCATGGTCTCACCTCACTGCTAGCCATTATACAGGGTAATTGACAGATGTTGACGAGTCCATGAGTCACACCGTAACTTCAGTCAGCCAGGGTAGTTGCTCTTCTCCCACCGTGACTCCTTCTGTACTGTCCAATCTGCGAAATATGAGGTTTTGTTATTTTGGAATGGGCCCACCAACACGCATCTATGTGGCGTCTGAGTTATCTCGGAAGAAACTGCAGGGTCCACTGAAGAAGACACGCATGAGGTCTAGGAGACCGCTAGGATCCATTCGCAAATAAAGGCCAACAATTACCTATCCAGCCTCGATGATTCGCTAACAAACAGCCAAACCTAATGGTTTTTGTTTTCCTCCTTTTGCTCTTTCAGGACCTTTTCTTCGCCTTTAAATGGAATACTTTGATGCACTGTACCCTGGAATTCCTCACTCAGGTCATCCTTCGTCGAGCCTTCCACTACTCGCCTGCTCCAAAGGAATCAGTGGTCCCGCTCGAGGCCACCAGTGGTACCGCCGCTGCTGCTAGTAAGTTGGCACCCTGCCTCCATCTTGCTACGCGTCTTTCCATCTCCCAAATGAACTAATTTTTCCTCTTTTCTTTCCCATTTCTTTACTCCAGACAGGAGCGCTTTTCGATGGATGCACTTTAAGCTCTTTAGCCGAAAGGGTCTGCTTTTGTTTTTGACATCTAATTGCTACTACTGTAGTTGAATAGTGCAGCTAATGTGAATCCATGACTCGTCAAAAAAGAAATGTCCAATTTTGGCTTGTAAGGAAAGGGGCGTTTCTAATAGGCATACTTACACCTAATTTGGCTAATCACGCATCATCCAATGCCCTTAAACAGCCGGATTGTTTGCCATGGCCACTGATTGATTAGTCAGTAAAGATGTTGCATCAAGTTGCTGTAATGGATGGTTTCAGTTGGAACAAGTAGAAGGACTGGGAGACTATTGACGTGAGGGAGGGGTTCGTGTCTCCACCACTCACGGCTTGAATCGTGAGGCACTGTAAAGGACCGCCGTCTTCTTTTGAACTCCATCCTTGATACTGTATCGGCGGTTGATGTGGCCAGAATTGGGAACAAGGAGGAGTATCTTGGAGTAGTTTAATCCTCAAAATTATGGGATCTACGAGTTGAATGGTATTAGTGCATCTCGTAGGCTTCGATGGGTTTACTTGTCGAGCCTCATTTTCAAGCCATGCATCGCCTAGGCTCAAATGGTACTATGCAGCGAGTCTTCTGTAGGAAGTGAGGTTTCTGTAGAAAAATTTCCTTAAAGTCGTGTAATTGTTTACTAAAACATACGTATTTGTTCCTCGGAGTTTAATCATGGTTCTGTTTCCTATCTTTAAACTGTCTTTGGCCATTTTCACCTGAAAAGGTGGCAAGTAGGAGTTTTTTTAGTCGATTTTGGCTCATCCATTTCCGGTCCCCTTCCATTGCTGTCTATGATGCATTTGCAAAGGCCTACGTGGCTCCAGCAGTGCGTCCTTTTCAGCTTTCTCGGCTAGACCTATCCAAAGAATAATAAGTTCACCTGGGTGTAGGGATTAGTCGTAAAGATAATGAAAGAAGTGGATTTATTTATTTGTTTGCAAAGGGCATTTGGATGGAAGTATTCGTTTTTGTTGCGGTGGTAGAGGTGCGACTGCGCTTCAACTAACAGCTTCATCCATCCTCACTCCCTCCTCTTCCCCCTCCGTCAGAGGGGTTCCGCCATTTCATTTGTGTACTTCTCACTGGGCTAACATGATTAGCTACACCTGTACCCATCCTGTGAGATCCTTTTTTGTCAATTGTAGGTCCTTCCACCAACACCTCTGGCCAGCAACCACAGGAGGAGGTCACATCGGCGGGGCCATTGCCCTATTCACTGCCGAATTCTCTGAGGCCTTATGGCAAAATTCTTCATCAGGTGGATTCTTTATGCAGCCGTATTGGTTGGCTTGAAGTTTAATTGGGAATTTCCGAGTTAGCGGAGGAATCGTATAGTGGATTAGCCACTGTTTCAGTAGTGTTTGAATCTGGATCCATTTGGAGGTCTTCGCCTTTTCGCATGAGACCGTGTGTCCTCATGTATGTGAATCTCCGTTTCCTAAGTACAACTCTTTTCTGTGCCCTTAGAAGTTGAAGTAGATTCCATCAGTTACGAAGCCTTAACTGGACCAAATGTAAAATCCCTAGCTTGTGAGCGTTTTAAGCACCTACAATCCTCCGAATTGAACTGATCTTTCGCCATTTTTGCCGTTTCATTTCGACATCCTGTAGATTTTCATAAGTACAATTGCTACTATCCACATAGCAGTTACTTGCAGTTCGTGGGCTCTGGGCACTTCGAGGCCTCGTAAGTGGATTGGAGCTCCTGTCATCGGGTGTGCTGAAGACAAAGGTTTACCTGGGTTGACCGCTATTCTGTCACTTTTTGAAATCTCTGAGGCTTTAGACTAAACTGAGTCTAGAAGAATAAAAAACCGAAAATAATAGGACATTTTGTTTCATTCTTAAAGACGCGACATTTGAAGTACTCTATGACATTGCTAGATTCCCTTTTCGTTGTTGGAGTTCTTTCCATCGAAGGCTAGGTCGAACTGGCTGCGTCGGAAGGCTTGTGTAATTCACAAAGTTGTGGAACTACCATATGTAAAACCGGTGATCTTTAACCTGAAGTCGTTTTTAATTTTTTCAGGGTAAAGTGGATCCACTGTTGTCTTTTTTGGAATTGAGGGTGCTTTTATCAGAGTGAAAATTTTTTTTTGAATTCAGACGATTGTCGACATCAAATAGTCGTGCCACTGTCAAACTCGAATTCGGCGAGTCGATTCTAACCCTCTAAAACTGACCTGGTTCCTCTGCGGTATTTTTCATCATGCCACTCGATTTCATGGAAACCGAAGGTGCATTGAAACTGGCTTATTTTGCTCGGCTGTCAAAATCATGCGACTGGATATCCGATGAGAAAGCGCCGTGAAGTAACTGCCATTCCCTCCAACTTAAGTAGATCCCCTCAGTAGAATTCACGTGTTCATACCAACTCCATCTGTAGTGGAGTGTAACCAGTTCTGTTTGTCGTACTGTCCAAGTCACCTAATAGTTTGAACAACCACCAACTTTTTGCTTTCAAAGGAGAGCCATCAAAGAAGGTTATTTTTTACTTTCAGATGTTGGTAAAACACCGTTTCCTTGATCGTCTACTCACCGCGTGGGATTTCGACAAGATTTCCAAGTAAGATATTTTCTTCATTCTTCCTTTCTCTTCCTCCTCTTACCGTTCGTTTTCTTGCTGAAACCTCGTCCCTTTTGTGGAGGGTTTATTTTTTTATTTTTTTCTTTTCGCCGCTCTCCGGGGCCATGAAACCCATTTATAACTCTCGCTACTTTGACCTCAAAGTCGAAGCTCACCAAACAGTACCCAAAACTGGTGGATGACCGCCAACTTTTGTTGGTCTTTACCTCCCCCCCTAAAAAAAAAAAGAAAAGGGTGATATTTTTGCATGCTTTTTTCTGTCAAAGTTGATGCAATCGGTAATGTGTGTTTTGTGAGTTATTCTTCCTCCTTTTCTCTCTTTTTTACAGCTTATGCAAAATGTTTTTTTTTTCTGACGCATTGTTGCTCTCACTTTTAATGCGAAAAGGGGGGTCATCAGTGTCTCCACGATAATGAATAAAAAAGTTGGCAACGCCTTCGGTGGAGCTCGATCCACTGGCTTTTAGTAACTTGGAGAGGCATATCATAGATAATGGGCCAGACTATCGACGCAGTACCCTCTACACTTTTCATCGCATTTTACACCCTTCAATGCGAAAATAACTTATTGGTTGAACGAAACTGGTGTGTGTGGTCTGAGCTGGTCTGCCCAAGGAGAAGGAAGGGCGTTGAAGAGTTGTGTGTCGCTATGGGATTTTTAGCAATGTTTGAAGTGTGTAATGAAACCCTTCGCAGGCGACTGTGCTTCTTTTGTGGGTGGCGGACTGAAGACAGATTTGTTCACTTTCTGAGGTCCAAGCAGCAATTACTCGATGTGATACAACTCGATACACCGTGTGGAGGAAAATCTTTCTCTTGCGAAACCATCAAGAATGGTGGATCCGTGAGGAGAAGGTGGTATTCTTGCAACACAGCGCAGGACTTTGTGCCTCACCGTCGCCAAACCAATTTATGAGACGATCCCACATCGTACTTGAGGATGGGAGCCAAGGACGGAGAGGAACACTATGCTCCGTTGTTAATTTAGTACAGACAGATCTAACGTTCATGTTCAGTTTTTTTCGCAACCTCTCTAGTTACAATCAATTCTCTTATCTTCTGGGATTCTTCCTTCACTTCTTGTTCCTGTGGCTCTAGTCGGTTGGGCGTTGCAAGCATTTCTTATCCATCCCCCCAGTTCCGACCATCGTCAAACTCATCGATTCCCTCGTAGGTCATTCCACATGAGGAATGTTTACGTCCATAGTCCACATTGACGAAAATGAATGGGTCCTCCTTGCACATACACACACACACGGGTCTTCAATTGACAGATGGCAGCCACCTTCGCTGAGTGCTGCCTCATACGTTAAACTGCAAGGACGGCATGTCAGATGGAAGCTGTAGAATGCTGCTGGTAGAGACAGTCATTTGCTACCCTTGTCATTATCAACTGGGGCGCCCAAGATATCATAAAGTATGCCAGCCTGGCTCCAGATTTATTGTAAAGGTACAAACAAATATCATTCCGTCGCCTAGTCAATCCCTTCCTTTGAGCTTCATCCTCAGTGCTCCCCATGGTCACCCTTCCACTGTGGCTCTCACTGAAATGGAAGTTAGTTTATTATCGATACAAGACTTCCGAAAGCTGGACGGGTCTGTTTTGTTATCTGAACATGTGTACCTGCTCCCTTTAATAGGGGTAAGGCGGGCTTCCGTCGAGCGGGATACATGGGTCACCTGCAGGAGATGGCATTACGCTTTGCCTGGTACTTCTGCCCAGGCCTGACCGAGTCGCTAGACTACCCGACCTTGAAGGACAGTGACGTAGCAGCACTGGATGACGAAGCTTTTTGGTGGCAGCCGCATGGAAGCGATGGCAGCGGGGACAGTGGTGATGGTAGTGGAGGTGGTGATGGAAAGGCGATGGAGGAGGACACGATGAATAGGAATCTCTTGTATTGGGAATCGAATATACGGAAATGCATACTTGGAGGTGAGTTGAGTTGTTTTTTTTTGGTATGAAACAATTTCATAGTATGCGGTTAGAATCCTTGTAGACTTCTTCAATGGTTTTTGGAGGATCGGGGAGCATTGCTAAGTCAGGAAAAATTGTTTCCTAAATCTTTAAGGTCGAATAGCGGAAACACTGTATCGGCAGGGTTTTCTTTTCTTCACTTTATTCTACCTTCAGATTTGCCCAGTACCACGCTGGAACGTTTCAATAACTTCATCTCGAGTGATCTGCGACAAGCAGTTCGCGTTTCCAACGTGGAACACGTAAGTTCTCCCACCGGAGCGGTCATTGGTGTGTTGTGCTCATCCCCATTTGTTTTTCATCATTCTTCCCCTTTAGCTTCGAAATCTCAAAGTAACCCTTGTTGGAACTCCAAATAAATTGAAACGGACTTCGCCTACTTTGCTTTCTCCAGAAGCTGCTCTCCAGGTATGGGATTCTTTGTCCAAAGAAGCGGTCCACTTATTGGCAGTAAGGCTTATCAGGCGTATTTTTTTGTCACTTTAATTGTCAGGCTTACAATCACTATAAGACGCAGCCTCTCACACTAGCATTCACAGAAAACTTCGGTTTTCGGGAGAACGAATTTGAGGTCCCTTCCGGCGTTTTAGAGGAGTTATTGGACTCGCTTCTCGGCGATCTCGGTGCCTCGTTGATCATGCAAGAATACACAGTGAATTCTATTGTACCACTGAAACGTTTCCTCCCGCTTCTACTTTTTTAAAAAAGTGCTTTTTATTTTATCAGGAAGCCGAAGCTTTGTTCGATGAAGTCTGTAACACAATCATAAAAACGCCAGATGGAATGGAAGTTGGTAACGTGTCTGCTGGATGTCCGGTGATCTGCATAGAACCACAGAGAAATCAAAGTACAGCATCGGTGATACAACTTCCATCACCTTCACAGCAGCTATCGCCATCGAAGTCCCGTGAAAGGGTATCTTTGTGCGCTGCCAGACGAAGAGATTCCGCGGAGAGACAGGCACAAAGCTACAACGTTCGGTCAATAGACTGGCTGACCGGAGTGTTTGATGAGGTGCATACGGAGATTCTGCTGGAGTCCGAGGACACATTAACTTTATTTGACAGTGAGGAGGTTGAAGAAGCGAGGCTGCCACAAGATATGTCAGATCAGGCGGAGATATCGGAAATGGACTTCTTCCACTGTGCACTCTCGCCCGTTCCCTCTACTCGCAGTCCGACTACCGTGGGTGAAAAGGAGAAGGAGAAAGAAGAGAAAGAGATCAGCGACGATTTGGCTGGTCTTGAAAATGATTTGCGCACCCAATTAGGTAGGCGTTATTCGGCGTTATGTTTACTCCTTGGAGAGGCTATAAAACACTAACATCTTCTATACTATGATCAATTTTGCGGTGTTCCAACACTGGAGATACATCTTGTTGATTTAGACAGGGAGCTGCTGTTGCACTCTATGCTGCTAAATTGTTTCTATCACCACGAGCTTATTTAATGGACAAGTAAATACAAAATAAGCTGTCACTTAGTTCCTCGGAGTTTCGTTCTGCCTTTATTCTCCATTCCATTTCGTCGATCATTGTCACCTTAACTCGGCGAGTTGTCTTAATCCAACTCCGGGTCCCATTACTATCCATGGTGTGGGCCACAAAGTGTAAATACGGATTAGGACGTTCAGAGGAGGCGTCTTTAATGTTTTTTTTATAGTAAAGCGTATGACCAAATTACTAGGAGCTTTAAATTTATTATGAAACCTCAATTGTGCCTCTAGCATTGGTGCCGGGGCCGACCCTGAGCAACGGCCGTCCGATGATGTCGTTTGGCCGATCGAGACGATTAGTCTCCAATACCGAATCTCTCTTCGAACCCCTGAGTCCACCATTTGATCGATGGCCAGTCACATCAAGGTCACTGAGTGCTTTAAATTCACCTGATTTACCAGATTCTGAAAGTCTGGTGCTTCCACGTCTGATTCTTGATCGCGACTTGAGATTGAGCTCGGTAGGTATTTGGAGAACCTGACCTAAGTAATTGCTGGATAGTTGAAATTGCGAAGATCAGTCATTCTTCCTGTAGAACTCTTCTCAACAAGGCGAAACTCTTCCAAGACCCATTCAGCCGACGATGAGGTCACATCGACTTGCCAGGACATCGCTTTTGAGATCATTAAACGGTGATTCAGACGTCGCCAATGGGATTTCAAATCCATTTGAAGATCACAGACGACGAAAACGACTCCTAACATCACCGGAGTTGGAAGCCGACACGGAGGTGGAGTGAGTTACTTGAATGATGATGACTGATCAAGTTTATGGTATAGGCTTCTTGATATTGTTCACAACCCCTGTAGGGAGCAAAAGTAGCGTTCGAACTCGGTCTATTTGCTAGGGGGAGATAGAAACGTGCACGGCACAATCATGTATTCCTTTTGACTTTCATGACTTATCATGTCTTCCCTTTATCCACTCATTCCCTCCTATCTCCTAGTGATCCCTCACATAACACAACCATTTGTAAAATACCACCGCTCTGATTTTCCCCCTTTTCTTTTGTTAAGAATCTAGATATCTTTGGCCGCTACGAGTATGTGATATTCGGTGTCTTTTTTTTTCAATGTTTGCTATGTAAAATTTTGAATATATATATTGAAGTAGGAATTTTTATTTCGCGGAACGGGATGGAAAATTAGGAACGGAGGCGACGCATTTCTCATCTTGCATTTTGGTAGGATTATTGGTGGTGTGGTAAAGTCATCAGTTCAACAGTTTATAAATTTGATTGAATAAGGCGCACGACAAGCGAGGGGTTGTGTGAGATCTTCATTGCTTCAAAAACCCGCTTGATGGTCGATGCCGTTGATAAGTAATGTGGGTGTCAGGTAGCGCATAAAATACCCAAAAGCCTGGAAGACAAGATACAAACGTGTTTTACAATAAAAAGCAATGCTTGCAGGAGTGGAGTGTGCGTTAGAAGTAAAGCGAACAAGATCTTTTATCGATAACAGCGGTAAGGGGTCCTTTAGTCAAACAAGTTGAGTCCCACCAGGATACGGTTTTAAATTTTGCTAACTTAAGATCGTGCTAGCAAAAATTGCAACGAATGGACCGGTTAGTGTGACAATTTTAAATTACAAAATGAGTAATTTAAACTGATTTGAAAAACATCAACATCATCTGATCGAGATTTTGATTGGCTAGTGCTGGGGCCTGTGAGCCTTGATAGTCTACGTGTGCCAATCATTTGCGGCACAGATTGTCGGCGGGCGCCACTATGGAGACTGCGCGCTTTCAGTTATCCATCGTTTCTGCTGATCAGCGATTGCCATCGCAAATAGTTGAGATCGAGTCTGAGTGGACGGCCATCGATTTGAAGAAACATCTGAGCAAGGTTTATCCGGGGGAACCCCCGATTGATAGTCAGAAACTAATTTTTGCAGGTCGCATTCTTCCTGACGACTCTAAACTAAGAACAGTTATTGGACAAGAACCAATTTCGCGAACCGTCCATCTAGTGTTGTCTCCATCCGTTGCAACTCAAGCCAAAGCTGCCATGGCTGCTCAAAAACGGAACGATCATTCCTCGGAGGACTTGAATAAATTAAGGGAGCAGTATTTGCAGTACCTCAACAATTATTACTCTACTACAAATAGTGAAGTTTCGACTCTCTCCTGTAAGTTTGCTTCATAAATAGAATGTCACTAAAGTTTACTACTTCGGTTGTTGATTGCGCGGGTCGCTTTTGCTAATCTAGATGTACCACAAACAGGGGATGAAAACGACGCGATAAATGTAGAAATAGAGGTTGCGGAGGCAGCGGAACAGCGTGGAGGGAACGCATTTCAGCATTTGGCGAGGGCTTTGGGCTTTCGACCAGCTCAGGAGGCGCCTGAGGTGCAGAATGGGGATTTGGGTGGTGAAGATCCCATTGACCTCTTTGATTTCGCCTACGCCATCTTTCGTATCAGCATTCTGGTGGCAATTTGTATCACCTACGCTTCCTGGCAACGCATGGCACTTGTCGCTGCTGTAGGCTTATACTTCTACTGGTACGCTTGTAATAGTTCACGACTTTTTCTTACGTCGCTAATTATGTTGACAACCCTTGACTTTATGTGAACCTCCGCCATTTCATTTGAAGGAGTTATGACGTAGGCTGTGTTTTATGTAATGATCATCAAATTAGTTTAATGGCTCTGCAGCTCAATATGTGGTGTTCAACGGGATGTACTTCCCGTGTGCCTGGCTAGGCGAAAACAGAGTTGTAGCTGGTATAGACAGCCATAAGGGGTCCCAAGGTTGAGGAGTAGTAAAATAATCGCATTGTTTTTTCTTTGTAGGCGTAATGGCGCACGTCAGAATGAAGTTCGAAGACGACAGCCAAACGACACACCCGTTCCTCCACCACCATCACCACAGCAACAACAGTCACAAGATACACAGCCACAACCAACTCAGGAAGGACAGGAGTCTTCTACTGATGCAACCACGCAAAACGGGATAAATTCTAGCGCTCCTCAAGTACGTTTTACTCTTTTTATCAACGAAATCTTGTTTAGTCTATTCGTTCGGCTCTTTTCTAACGTTCGACTTCAATAGGGTCGCACTTTCGACTCTGGCTCAAGCTTCTTTAGCCCGCTTTTTCTTTTTACTTCCAACTGTAGTGAAGTGTCGGTGGCGATGCTTTCAACTGCTTAATTTTCTCCTATCTGCAGTCCTTTTCGTTGGAAAGAATTTTCTCTGGCTCTTTATAGCACTGTAGACTTGTGGTAATTATAAGAGTATTTCCAATTTTCTTTCCGTTTTCATCCCCCGAAGGTGTTAAAGGCTTTTAAGATAGTAAGGCTTGAAATGGGCGTCTCCGTCTCGCTTAGTATTTATGTTTTTGTGGTAATGTAATTGTTTATGGTTGTATCACTGCTCTTTCCACTGGTGACCGGTTTGACAGTAAACAGCCCTTCTACCTTTGATGCACTTCAAAAAGACCGGATCTTTTTACCAAAGCTTTGCTTGTTTAAACACCCTTTCTGTTTTACCACTTCCTACTGAAGATTATTTGGCACTCCTCGCCTGCCCACGGTGCTTAGCTTTCGTTCACGTCGGGATGAAATGATGTTAAGTTCCAATTAGGTAGGGAGACACAGTGCCCAGTTTATGATACGGCAATGCAATTATTTAGTGTCCCCGTTTCTAGATTATCTGCCTTAGGTCTTTCTTTGCTTGAACGCGTCTGATTTGCGTAGACAATTTGATGTTAGCTTTTGGAGTGCAGAACGCGGGATGGAGATAGCGTATTGATATGTTTGGTAGGCGTTTTGGTGTGACACAGTGACAGTCTTCAATATTGTCGACCCTTGATACATTTTCGAAACCTGTAGTGCCGATCCAGCTCGTATAAGTGCTAAGTAATCATTTTGAAGCCAAGGTCGCGCGCCGGAATGTCGTTTCTTAACCAACTTATTGACATGCTGCGCGAATGTTGGTTATCCGTCAAGCGTTTGTTTGGCCTCTTGGGTTGTTGCTCTCGTTCTACGTGGGTGCTCAATTCTCATCACGGGTGAACTGTCATATGGAATGCGGTTATAGCCCATATTCTCTGCTTAACACGATTCTATCTGTTAGTACGTGCTTGGTGATTAGGTGTGGTCGCAAGGGCTCCTCAACTGCTGTTCCATTAGCTTTATTGGAATAATTTTGCTCTCGACTATGCTCTGATCACAGTAGGCTACATTCATGCGCCTATAGGGATATTCTTCACTTTCACTGTACCACAATATTGAAAGAGATTGTTGAAACTGGTAGTCTTAGTGTTTTTGATATCGCGCCTCTAAAGTAAAGGATAAACGGTCAGGGCAAGGTATCACTGGATCGTCCTTCACTGAGTAAACGGATCACTGTTCCACCCTTTCGCATTCACACTGAAGGCAGTCGAGTACGCTATACTCTACTATTTCGATCGCTCCAGGGGCCGAACGCAATTGCTAAGCTTTCCACTTTCCCAACTAACGCGAAACGGTGTCGACGACGTCGATGTCAAATAATTCCAAAATGCTCCTTCGATGCCCCATGACAATTACCTCATTACTGCTGTATGATTGAAATGTGAAAACTGGGTGAGGCTTAGCAATTACACCCTCCTCCCATCTCCATCGTAATACACCTCTTTTACATGAGTAATGCGCACCATCTTCTGAATCCTTCTTTGAAAATGTGACACCTGTGATTCTGATAGTTGCTGAAAATAGCGATGACCTTGACTCCGGTAAGTCTGTAACCATTGGAATGTGCTCGTAAGAGTCTCATTTCAAATTGAGGTTAGAAATTAACACAGAAGGTGATTGTCTCTGGCATTGTGATCCCGTCTACTCAAATGTCTTTTTGGTAAAACTCCTGAACTTCTCGTCCTGGTTTGACTACTTCCCCTATCATCCAACCAAAATGCCACCACAAGAAAACCATGGTCACGAGTCGCAGTGATCGTTTGAGGTAATTAAAATGCTGATGATGGTGCATCACTCAGATTAATCGACAGATGATCACAATGAAAGGCCATGGAGGTGCCTATGCCTACAGAATGAAAACGTAACCGCGAATTTCGCTTATTCAAAGAATTTTACGACTTTAACAGCATTCCCAAAATTTTGAGGCCTGTCAAAAAAGTTTCCACCTGGTCGATGAATTTTGACGATATGCATTGTCTCCCTTCATCAGGCAGTCCCTACCGTCACCGCGGCTGCTGAGGGTTCGGCAGGCGAAGGTGTCACCGTGATTAGGCAGAGTCGTGTTGGCCAAATTGCAGGAGCGCTACGAGCCGCCGGGGACACCTCGGTGCGTCTTGTCTGCGCCATCTTCTCCTCTCTTGTGCCTGAACTGCCCGCGCGCATCGATTAGGGGATTCAAGAAGGGGAACGTTGGGTGTTTTTACCCCGCACACCCATCCCCACCCCAAGCCCTCTGCCTACCTTTTACGATCTTTCACCCAATTGATTTGCCCGCTTGCTTGTTTTGTATAAAAGACATCCACTCCGCTTGCACAAGCCCCCAAACCCACACAACAATTACACTCAGTTACCATCATGTGTTTCCTTGGTACACTATAAAGAGGTATCTATTTTCTGCCTGTATCCTCATTTCGCGTGAAGAAACAAGACGAGGGTTGTCACTTTGACACCCGAGTTGTCCCTAAAAATGGGCTTATCAACGTGCTTGAGGGCTGGGTGTGCAGTAGCTTGAATGCCATAGGCGGTGTGCGAGGTGGGGAAGAAGAGAGGTATTGATTTTTCGAGTGACCCTTGGGATCTCCTTTCCACTTGGGCTGTCACGATGTTGGGTCATGGTTGCCGACTTCTCTGGTCATTTATTGACTAGGCAGCACGGAGGCAATGTTCACATTAGTGTCTCGTAAGTCAAGTCACAGAGAGGTAGGATGGCCGAGAAATTAAAAACACAAAACAGAGCACAAAATCGGTTTCTGCGTTGGTGGTAGTCTTATTTTGCAAAGCTATGCCCTCCGCGTGGGTGTCGCCTATAACGATAATATAAGCGACAATAAGAGATTAGTAACAAAATTGGAAGGGAGGGAGGGAATGACTCACGAATGAAGGAGTCGGTGCCTCAACGATCGACTGGCGACTTTCTCCGTCCTCGATATATCGACCAGATCCGGGTATCGACATCTTCGACGTTTTAAAGGTTGTTTTACAGTCTCGACAACTGAAAAAAAAAGAAAGCATGAAATGGTGCGTATTGGCGATATCCACACACCCTGTGCGGCTGCACATGCTCGTGACTGCATTGATCGCGCAGCGCGATCACCTGACACGGAGTGATCGAAGGAGCAATGAATGGGGTCGCCGGCGCTGCCATCGCCGCCGCCATGGTAAATTAAACAATCAAAAGGAGGAAAAGTGATATCAGCTTCTGGTGTTAATATCAGCTGTAAAAGGTGAGGACGGGGGATGCTTTAAAAGTGTTGATACCAGTCGCCCTAACAACTGTATTTCGGCTAGTCTGGAAAGTGTTCAAAATTCCCGCTTCCGATTATTATCTAACGGTAGAATTTTGAGCCGATAATACTGACAAAATCCCTCTCAAAAGCAAAAAACATCAAGTAGCAATACGAGGGCTCCTCGCCACTTCCACTAACCATGGACCCATCTGGCCTTGCTGGTTATTCGTTCGCAATGCAGAGACTTCGCAACTGCTTGAGAAGAGTTTGAATTGCTTGGACTTAGCTGATCCTCTTCCACACCCTCCGTTCTCATGGATTCCACTAGAGAGTGGAAGAAGCCATCGCAATAGCTTTTCCTGTACCACACTAAGTACCATGATCAAAGGGTTTCCAGCTCACCAAACTTCTCCGCATCGACAACTTTAACAGGGAGAGACTTAGCGATCGAAGAAGAAAAAGAGATAACGGATTCTAAGTGGTCCGTTTGAGGCTTTTCGAACTCCGCCACATCGAAGGGCTTCCAGAATCGGTGGAGAGACTCTAATTTAATCCTGCGTTCTTGAGGTGTGGTTTCCTCACTGGGAAGGATGATTGATTCCTGCGGTGCTTCGCGTCTTAACTCCTGTGAATACCTCATTCAGAAGAAAAAAATATAAACGAGTAGGAGAAACGAACATTTAACGCACTTTGATCTTCCAAGAGGTCGAGCAGGTCCGCTACGAAGGGGATTTTGAAGCTGCTTTGAAAGCGAAGAAGAGGGACGGCCTTCCGTCTCCCACGGCAACTTGTCAGTAAGAAGAGCCAATGGTTTCACGGGAATCCGCTCTTCACCTTTATTCCTCATCTCCGTCCCTTCTGCCATCTCAGCAGTGGATGTGGTCTGATGAGTAGAAGGGAGAGAGAGAGGAGGCACTTCAATAAAATCGTCTTCGTCATCGGCCTCTTCTTCTACTGCTTCTGTAGAAGTGCTCGGAAGTTCCTCAATGAAACGCACAGCGGAAAATTGATTCACAGCCTTGTCCAATCGAGCCAGTAGAGATTCAAGCTCATCTTTATCGTCCATAAAGATTGGTGACAGTTCCGGACTATCCGCAAAAATCCGCGACAGCTAGATAAGGATGATTACAATAATTACGGCACAAAGCCATGCCCTTCATCACATCACAGTTAACAGCCGGTTATTCTGGGAGTCAACCTCCCTTAACTGCGTCCGTAGAATTGCACATGAATCTAGCTAAAGGCACTAACGACAAAAATTGTGGCAAACAATGACGGTTACATCACATTACTCCACTCTAGTTTTTTATATTAAGAGGTGGATAGAGTTGCGTAGAGAATGTCCCACATATTTCAGCTAGTCTCGCTCCATTCTAACAGAATAGATGAGAAGAATAATTCCATAAGTAGATAACTAGTAAAATTCGAGCTACTTGGGATACTGCTAAGGTGATGGCCAATGAGCGTAATCAAAATACGAAGAGAACGTTGGCGTCCGCAATTAAAGAAGCGGCAAACAACCTTTATAGAGGCCACCCAGTTGCCCTAGCAGCCACAATGAAGCTAATATCAGCTCAACGGAACGATCATTTCCAATTTTTAGCCGACAAAACCTAAAAAAGTACATACCTCAAGATACTGAGATAGTATTGCACGATGTTTCAGGGCCACATTAGTAAATTCCTGTCCAGCCTCCCGCAAAATTTGCACATCGTCATTTAATGTGAGTTGTACTTCAGGAAGTAGCAAGTCAGAATCACCAGCTACCCTTGTGAAATTTAGTGAAAAGGTGATATTCACCTCTCCTGAAGTATGAAAACCGTGCTCCCGAAAATCCCTTGGACTGGACGACCCAGAAACGATTGAGTTTCCCATCTGAGAGAGATCGGGAACCAGCAACTTCACAATGTTTCCCAAAGATTCCACATTCTCCACAACAAGCGGGTAGTGTTCTACAGAGAAGTTCAGAAACATTTACACAATATTACCTACTAACAGTTTAATCAAGTAGGCACTTAGCTGATACCTCGATAAGCATCCCTAGCCGCGAGCACCCGACGTCGAATCACAGCATCTGCCATTTGTGCTTTTCGACGCCGTTGATTCTCTTCCCGTTCCAGTGTTTCTAACATAGAAGCCGCATCTTTTAACCGAGCCGTCCCACCACTCTCTTCCAGTGGTGTGCGCAAATACCGCATCACGGAGGCGAGTTGACCCCGTGCTTGCGAACTCAGCTTGCTGCAGACACCCCCGCGCTCCCATTGAAGCAACATTTTAAGCATTTCCTTCTGCATTTCAATAGCAGCCGATTCTGGTGGTGGCAGCGCCTTATCGAAGCTTGTGGTGGGAATACAATAAGGCAGAACGTCCTGCATGCTCAAATGATACCGTTAAATGAGATCACACCTGTAGTTGTAGCAGAATGGCCTCCTGAATGCTGGAAGCTAGTGATGATTGCGAAGGCACAGTGGTCAGGAATTTAAGTACTTTGACAACACTGCATCTAATTTGAGCGTGAGGTTTTTGCATCTGCCGAAGCAGAAGTTGAAGAGCATTATCCCGCTCGGAGTTGGATTCACTATTTGGGTAGAAATTACATAAAATAAGAACTATTAAAATAACCAGAGCCTTAAAAGAAGAGTAAAAGGCACACCGAATCCGACTGACTAAATCAGAAAGGAGGTCAGCGCTCAAGGCTTTGGATCCGCCCGTAGTCAGTCGATCGACTAGTTCTGACAAAGTTCTGGGTGGAGGCGGAGATTTCGATTTTCTAGGTGGTTTTGCTTTCCTAAACACCTTCATCCCAACTATGAATAAAATGGAAGTGTTAATTTACACGAACGTAAAAGTCAGAAAAGGAAGAAGAAGACTTGAGCACTGGTGTATACTACAAAATATATTTCAAGTTTTTGGAGAGTACTCAGATTGTACTTTTTTGGATGGGAGTTGGTCCTGTAAAAAAGAAAGTGTAAGGCAATAAAAAACATATTACCAAAAGTTTAACCCAGTTTTCATTATAAGCGCTGCAGTCAGGCTGTTCAGAAAATAAAAGACAAAATTCGCCCGTTTTTACCAATTCGCCGTAACGACCAACATTCAAAGTGAGGCAACCGTTGCGAACAGTGGTATTTCTAGCATAGCAGAACAAATAACTGCAAATAAAGCGTACCCTTGGGTCAGTTGGATAATGTCACCAGGTGATATCAAGTTTCCCTTTTCGTTCCAGACGGACATGTTGATGCATCCTGTGCGATCAGCGACTTTAACTGTTCTAACTTCGTTGCCATCTTTTATGCGAACTGGCGAGCCTGTACGCCAATCAAGAAAGGACAAACGCATAACATCCCAAAAAGAGCAGTGCAGAAAAGGACCCAAAGAGTAACATGGGCAAATATACAATAACCATACTTGATTAGGGTAAAAATAAACGCGGTCCCAATTTAGCTAACCTATTTCGAGAACGATGAATACCACACACACACGTTTCATGTTTGGTTTCAAATCCTTGATTAATAAGCTTGATTCCTTTAGCTCAGCCATAATTTTAGAACAATAAATACACGAATAAACCAGCCCACCTTTACAGAGGGCGGCTCCGTAAGAACAAACTTAAACAATTTAAAGCAAGTGTACGTTAAAATTTTTGGCTTTGAGCTGCTGAATGTAAAACTTTAACACAAAATCTGCGTTTAATTTTCTTAAAAAAACTAATGTGCAATCTTATATTGCAAATTTTGGGCATATGAAACCCTGGAAGAGCCATTGAATTAAAGCAGTGTTCAGTAAGCAAGAAAATACCTTTTTTTGGTTAAATATAAAGTTTGTTTAAGTGCAAAAATGGTAATACTAGACACTTCTGCCCCTACTCAAAGCCCACCTATGTAGTCATGTTATTACCATAAAAATTTCAAAATAATTTTAATACCAGGCTGTTTCAAAAAGTTGGGGAATTTTTTTCAATTCAGCTACCTAATTATAGCTTCTTAAGACACAATACTCAGGCAGAATATATATTCAGCACAGAGAAGGTGTTTCGGCTGTTGGCATGGCCCGAAGACTAGCCCACCCAGTGAGGTACAAGGAGGCTAATCCAAAAGTACAAAAGTGGAGCCTCATCAATACCGAGGAATAAATCACCAGTGTATTAAAAAATGCTACAGTTTTTGAGATCTATACTGTGTTGAGCCATGGGGATTAATGACCTCCCCTCAGTCAAATGTTTGAATTGCTTTGAAAGTTTGTCATCTTGGGCCAAAATCACACAAACATGTGTTTTAGTAAGACATCCAGTAGTTTAAATACCCGTGTTGTTAGACAAAGAATCCTCCCTAAAATAATAAAATTGATCAAATCATACTGTAATCTTACAAGATGCGAACTGGAGGCACTAGCCAATTTGGTGCTCCCGGCGAATTGCTCTGATTAGACATTACAAACCGATTTACGCACAAATCTTGTTAGTTAGTTATTTTAGCGAAATACAGCACCCTTTCTTGCTACGATGCTAAAGAGGACTCGCTACCCTATATTTCTGGCAGGGGCAAGTAAACCCTATCTAATGTACAACTGCTTTGATTTCCGTGGCTGAAAAACACTATTTTGCTTAGCAGAAGAACATCCGCTGCTGGTAGGTGAATTTTAAATTTTCCAGCTAACTGATTTAAAGTAAACTTTGCTCTTAGCAAATACCCTAATCTTGTGTTCATTTAAAGCAATATTAGATATAGGGAAAATCCATTACAGAGCCGCCTGTGGTGTTTGTGAAGATGATGCATGAGTAAACAATCGACGTATCGTCCAATTCTTTACCAAATAAATGTGGTTGAGATGAATTGTAAACAAATTGGCACGAGGGAATAGACGCATAAACTTTAACCCGTAAAAATACTTCAAACCTTGTTTTTTTTTTAAGAAATAGCTCTGCTGTTAACTTAATGTCCTCATAAACAGCGACTGGTATAAGAGATTACTTTATTTAAGACCACATTAGGCCTTTAGCAGCACAAATTTAGCGCAGCTGCACTCCTTAATACTATTAACAAGTGGAAAGAGGCTTTAGATACTGGATAATAACAGGGATACATAAATGCCGCTTGAATTAAGTGCCCTCTAGCTTGCAGGTAAGTAAATGGTCGGCGCTACTAGCCTGCATATGGCTTAGAAGACATCAACTCCATTACATAAACCAAAATAGGTGTTTATTCAAGGGTAGCGTAAGAGTTGCGTTTGAAAAAAGGTCTATGAAAGGACTTGATTTAAGGCTAAATTAAGAAAACGCCTAGATCTTATCACTTCTTCCTTTGGCTTAAGATAGTAGCCTCTCAAATACTTTGTGCTTAGATGTTCTTTTACTGTAATACGATAGTGGCTTATCTCTAGGCGCTGGTGAGGCGCCACTTTTGTGCTTCGAGTAAGCCCCTTTTTCCTCGCTGAGTGGGCCGGCCTTTTGGGCCATACTAATAGCCCAGACACCTCCTCTGCGCTGAATATGTATTCTGCCCGAGTATTGTGTCTTTTTTCGTCTTCAGGGAGTCCCGGGCCGTTACATTTGAACTACTATGGTTTTAAACATAAATAGTTGGTAATGGGGTTGTTCATTTTGTCGGGTAGCGTTTCGGGACTCCCTGAAGACGAAAGAAGACACAATACTCAGGCAGAATATATATGTATATATTCAGCACGGAGAAGGTGTCTGGGCTATTTGCATGGCTTAAAAGGCCAGCCCCACCCAGCGAGGTACAAGGGGACTAATTCGAAGTACAAAAGTGGCGCCTCACCAGAACCGAGGGATAAACCACTATCGTATTACAGCAGAGTTGCTAAGGCAGTGTGCATAGATTAGGTTGAAATTGAATTTGTAAAGAATGTTTTTGACTTCGTTTGTAAATTTTGACATTATTATGAGCAAAATTGTGTGCCCCATGTGGGAATGCTATAATTATTCACACCCGGCCATAGTATGAAATCGCAATCTGAGAAATTGTTCTATTAACCTGTGTAATTTAACAATGCGCATTTTACTGAAAAGAATCCATATGCGAATACGAATTTTGTCAGTAAAATTGTGAAAAGAACCTTGTTATTGATGGACAGTAGGCGTGTTTCGCTTCAAACCTTTGGATAGACAAAGCATGCTATTGGTTTCGATTTCAGTCTGCAGTCAGAATAACCACTAAGGTGCATAAAAACTAAAGACTGGATCATTCAGCTGCAAAATGGCACTTTTTTTGTCAAAACGTTTATTCATAACAAAACATTGACCTCACCTATCCAACAAAATTTCAGTCTATTTGTCTGGTATGTAGTCACCCTATAATTACTTATTTTAATGCCACTAATATAATTGAGTCCATTTTACACAAACACCAGTGGTTTTGCACTTTTATATAATGTAACAACATTGAAGTTTGTCCGCGCTAAACATCTAAAATAAGTGCGCTCCCCATAAATTATTTTGGAGTTATGCGGGGATGGGTGGGACTGTGAGCGTTTTCTCGGATAATCAAGCCCTTGTTGACAGCCTCAAAGAATCATGCGAGATTCCACCGGAGATAGAGCGCGTGTTTCGGCTGGTAGATCGCGGACTCTATGCGATAGAACCTAAAGAGCAAATTTACAGTGACTCTGCTTGGCGGGTTGATAAACTACACCTTTCAGCTCCTGGCATCTACGCCACTGTTCTTCGTGAACTTGATATTCACCCTGGACAGTCTGTTCTCAATATTGGCAGTGGAACTGGATATCTTAGCACAATGTTTGGGTTAATGCTCGGTAATCGGTTTTCTACTTAGATCCTACATCTCTTGCATAACGACGTTGATATTTGTCTATTTTAGGATCAAACAGTGTCAACCATGGCATTGAGTTACACGAGTCAAATGTTGCATTCGCCCGGGAGCGTCTAACTAAGTTTCTCGCCAGTGATGTTATCTACGAACGTGATTTCTGTGAGCCCCACTTCACAGTTGGTAACATTTTTACCGTTGTTCCTCCCTCTGCGACTTCCGCACGAGTTGCCAATGCCGAACCTTCCGGTGATTTCAATTCAGAGGGATCTTCTCTCGACGAATTTATTCACCAATCTCTCCTTTCCCCGAACTTGAATATTAAGCCCCCTCCTCTGATTAAACGTGAATCTACAGATGATGGCAAATATGAATTCGAATTTTGGCCTACTTATGATCGGATTTACGTCGGTTCCATGATCTCATCGCCGGCACAGTTGGAGGCTATTTTACGACTGCTCAATGTTGGTGGAAGACTTGTTGCGCCTATTTACGACCAAGTAGGAACTTATTTGGAAAAATGAAAGCCTATTGCTGTTATTGTTAATATTTGGCCTTCGGATGTTTTATAGCTTCACAAAATTGATCGTATCTCCGACAACAAGGTGAATGATACGGTCCTCATCAGTGTTAGCTTCATGAGCCTTGTTTCATCCTCTGAAAATGATCCCAAAGTTACTCCCCGTGAGTCTTCGACTTCATTAGGAAGGATTTTTATATTATTTGTGGGCGTTCCTTTGGCTCATAGGTGGTAAGTTTATTCCTACATGATGGTAGAAATGTGAACTTCAGCTTTCCTATCGCTTTAGTGCTTGTTAACCATCCAAAATTGTCTCGGCTTCTCAGCATTGTGTAGAAACGTGTTATTCATTAACGCTCCTCTAAGGATTTTTCTGGGATCACTCATTATTATGGTCATAAGGCTTTAAGCAGCTCTAGTTTGCACCCATTCTGCACCATTTTTCCCTTCCAACTGATAGTCGGAAACTTCTAAGTATTTGTGACCTCAATAGCACCAGCGACGACATTTTTTTTGCAACTACCAATACATTTTCCGGAACGGGGCCCTTCATTTCATATTTACTAGCTATGAATCGCCGCTTGCCTTACGCCCGTAAATTAATAAGCAACCGTGTTCGTTTTCATTAATCAAACAAGTAATTGGGGTGCCCATATTTTTCGATACCTCCTATCACGTGGCCTCTGATTACGATATACTGTCACCTGTGCTTAGGTTTGCACCATTCACGACTTTAACTCAAGGAATAAGAGTGATTTCTTTTTTGAGGAAAAAACTAGCTGTAAATCTAAACAAGGGCATACGTTTTATCATCTATGATTGGCCTGTCAACCACTAACCGATGGGACATCGAGATATCGTGCCTAGGCATTTTTAGTGATTGTGTAGCGCGAGACATAGGTGCTATATTTAATTAAAATTCTGAACACTGAATAGATTCTTCAGAGCGAAGGAATCTACCCATCTTTTTTACGTTCATGTGATCCCCAGTGGCTGACATTAACGCGTCCTTGATGCTTTGGTCATAGCTGTTTGGCTCCTTCTTAGTGATGTCCAATCGAGTTTTGAATTAGCAAGGCTTGGGAATTCAACTCGCGATTGCACTGCTCGATAGCAGCTTCTTTGGTACTGTTAACAACCCCCTCAACCACACTATAACCGCAGCGGTCCAAGTGATACAAACAATGGGAACTCATGGTATTCAAACGTTACTAATCACGTGACCAGAAAATTTTCGTTTATCCACCCATACGTCATGCAAGGCGTTCAAGAAGGTTCAGTCTTTTTAAAGCATACGAGGCCCCCTTGGAGCAATAACTGTTTCCAACGTCTTAATCTAGCCTATTTCATTGGTCAAATGCCAAATTTGCACATTTACGCTCATTAGTTCCGTTGATTGGTCGAGTCACTTAATTTAACCACTTGTAGCCAATCGTTTTGTTTCTCCAATAATTTGCCATTCACGGTGCTGTTAAATTGCCTACTAAGAACTTTATTTCTCCGCCAGCGCCAAAACGCACGGTAGAGCGACTGGAGCGTCTCGCCTGTCGACGGTTGCGTCAGCAGTTGCGGCAGGTGATTCTACAACGCGCTGGCGATCTGCCCGATCTAGGTCGGTTTGTACGAATTCGTGGGTCCTCCCCCTCCCTCCCCTCCGCCTCATCCGTCTCCCCCGACTCTGTCTCCCGTCAAAGCCATCTCGGTGGTAAAAGTCACGGCGGAGGGACCTCTTCCTCTACCAGCACCACTCCGTCTGCATCTTCGTCCTCACCTTCCTCTTCCTCGTTGTTGTCCTCCTCTCCTCGCCCTTCTGCTCCTTCTACACCTCCATTGCAACAACAAGATATACCTGAAATCCCTCCAATCCATGTCAACGTCATTGTCCCCGGATCGAGGGCGATAGCGGAACAGATGGATTTTGTTGAGTTCATCTCACGAAACATCCTCAGATGTCAGATGCAGGTGAGTTGTTTCCGATAATCAGCTGTTCAACCTATTATTACTTCGCTGAGAGATTCTTCTCACTCCTCTTTCCTACCTCATTTTTTTCCCAGCAAACGAGGGATAGCCACCGTAACGTCGAACAGACTATTGAGAATACAGACGAGGAAGAGACAGAAGAAGGCGATGAAGAGGAAGAAGAAGAACCAATGGCTGGTCCTGCAGACACTGGTGAAACAGATGCGGATGCAACGAGACGGAAACGACGGAAGAGAAAGAGGAGGAGAAGAGAGGATGGACAAGAGGAGTCGGGGAATCCGGAGACAGAACAATACGATGATGAGGCTGAAGGAAATCGTGGAGAGCGTCGACGTCGAGGTAGACGAGTACGAGAACTGACGTGGCAACCGCAGTCGTACACCTTCCGGGAGAAGATGCATCAGTTGATGAAGGAGGAATTGGCGTTGCCTCTCTACACCACTGATCTCGTTCTCCGTGTCACCTGATGCTTGTTCTGACTGT